TCTGGCAAAAGTTTATCCCTCAGACGGCCAAGGTTACGTTAGTCAACACTCTGTTGCTTCCTATTTTAGATTATGCTGATATTGCTTATCCAGATATAACTGAGGAACTGCTTAGCAAACTCGACCGTCTGCTCAATTTGTGCATACGCTATATTTTTGGCCTGCGCAAGTTTGATCATATATCACAATCTCGCTCAAGACTTAAGTGGCTCGACATCCGTTTTCGCCGGAACACACACCTTCTAACCACTTTGTATGGTATTCTTTAAAATCCTTGTTCCCCAGCTTATCTGAAAGAGCGTTTTTCATACTTAAGCTTATCCCGTTCGATGTCCAATAAAACTCTAACTATCCCGTTGCATAAATCTACATACTACTCGGATTCCTTTACGGTATCATCAATTACACTTTGGAATAACCTTCCACGAGATATAAAAGATGCTCCCTCAATAAATTCATTTAAACGTAAGGTTGAGGCACATTATTTAAAATTACTTGATTAATATTATTGGTTTATATAATATTATATTTTCTTATACTAGATTGTATGTATTTTATTGGTATAGTATGTATTTTTGTTTATATGTATATATACATTTATATATATGTATATATGTGTGTGTATGAAGTGTCAATATATATAAAGTAACATATTTATATAATATTATATTATTGAATAATATGTGAAGTTAGTTTCTAAAGTAAGTTAGTTTTTTTTTCCCTCTGTTGCGGCTCTACCCATAACTCTCACCACACTACCAAAGGTTAGCTGGCAGAGAATGCCTTTTTGGCATTAAGTTCGCCTTTGTACCAAATGTTTGTTTGTTTGAGTGCAATAAAGAATTTTCTATCTATCTATCTACTTTCTGATCGACTCGATACTCTGGCACTGCGTAGGGATATTGCATCCCTTTGCATTTTCTATCGAATTTACCACGGGGAGTGCTCTGAGGAATTGTTCGGATTAATTCCAGCCGCCAAATTTCACGAATGCACATCGCGTCAAAATTCACGATACCATCCTCACCATCTGGATGCTTAGTGGTCCACGACTTTACGTTTTACTAGGAGTTTTCTTCCTCGTACAACTTTTCTGTGGAATTGTTTACCACCGGCGATTTTTCCGGACCGATACGACTTAGGGACCTTCAAGAAAAGAGCTTACTCCTTTCTAAAAGGCCGGAAACGCATCTGCGATTCCCCTGGAGTTGTGGTTGTTCATGGGCGGCGGTAGTCAGTTACCATCAGGTGAGCCGCATGCTCGTTTGCACCCTCTTCTATAAAAAAAGTCATAAAAGAGACGTACTTTAGTTTGGTATCGCATTAGATTTCATGGTGATAACATCTTGTTGATAATATTTCGTGGACGATAGTAATTATAGGTGGCGGTGATGAAGCGAATATATGAAAGGGCGTATAGATCGAAGTAGGAGCAAGATCTTTTACTTTCATCATGGATCTCCAAAGCTAAAGATGATCCAGACTGTATAACTGCAAATTGGCACCCCAGCTGTCCGCTTTAAAGGAGCATGCCGCTGCTAGTAAACATCAAAAAATATGAGTGGACCCAACATGCGCAAGAATATTCTTTTATATAAATTTAATTAAGACGAAAGCACGAAACAGATTTATAAACAAACATGCAGCGTATGTCTTGTACGTTAAACAAAGCATTCGTGAGCATGACGATTGCATTGCATTCGAACCAACGAAAGATAATGTTAACTTTAATTTTAAAACAATATTACATTTACATGTGTATTTTTACTTTTCTTAGTTTAATACAATGGTAAGTAAAGTTGGCAGTATTTAGGCATTTTTCACTACAGACTGGCAGGATTTGGCAGGTTTTTAACCGAAGTAAGGCAGGATCTGTATTTTAAAGATCGTCACACTGGTCAGGACCTAGTTAAAATCACAGTGCATAGTTGCTTAGGACGTATCTTTGTATTTGCTCCGTAAGAGAACCGGAGTCCCTTTTTATGGAAATGAAGCTGTGGCGGGTGCAAGAAAAAGGGAAGATCTCCCGCCGGGAAAGATGTTCTGCCCGGGGAGCGGCCAACGCTCCAATTGGTAGTTCGGAGCTATTCTATATATGCTGCTTTAATTTCGGAACTTTGTTAGCGCGATTTAGACTTCACCCCCCTGCTCAGACCGGAGGTCGATAGTGCAGTCTAGATGTCGACGAATTTGCAAGTGCCAGGGATTGCCTTGTAATCTGCGGTGAGTCGAGAAGAAGGCAAGTAATCTGCGAGAGTGCCGTGAAGCAGAGGCGAGCAGTAAGGCTCAGAGCCGTGCCGAACACTGTAGTGCAGAGAGTAGCTTGAAGGAACAGGAAGCATTATTATTCCAGTGCTGCGATGAACCATTGTAAAGCTAGATGGCTTGCAGAATGTGAAGGCTGCAGACAATATCAGCTCGGGAGCGAATGAATGGGATACTTGAGGATGATGAAGGTTTGAAGGTGTAGTCTCCGAAGGTTTGTTGATTGCGTTTTCATACCACTGTGGCCGGTGCAAGGAAAAGGGGAGATCTCCCGCTGGGAAAGGTGTTCTGCCCGGGGAGCGGCCAACGCTCCAATTGGTAGTTCGGAGCTATTCTATATCTGCTGCTTTAATTTCGGAACTTTGTTAGCGCGATTTAGATTTCGACGTGTTTTCGCTTGTGGCGCGACGACAGCGCCGCCACAAAGCATTAGATGTTAGTTCTCAGGGGTGACAACGAGGAAAGATGTAGATCTGTATTGGACATAGTATCCACTTACCATCAGGTGTACTGTCTGCTCGTTTATTACTTTTAATAATACGGTACAAAAACAAAGTATGAGAAATAATGACAACATTCTTAACATTTTACGGTTAGAAAAGGACTAATATTTCTTTGCTTAGTTAAAGTCGCACTTAAAAAGCCAAATTAAGATATTTCTGCTGCCATGTGTTGACAGTGTACTCTCTAAGAGAATGCGCCCCCTTCCGTCCGTAGGCTCATTAGAGCCGACTTTAAAAAATGTCACAATCGTAAAGACATATCAATAGCCAGGCACAAATCTCGGGTCCGACCAAAATCAATTATTGAATTTTTCTATTTAAAATATCTTGCAACAGCCCGGAGTCAGGAAGTTGGCGGTTTTTTACCCCCGTGCCTCGGAAAGCACATTAAGCCGTTGGTCTTGCGCCTGATCGATTATTATTATTCAATTCCGCGCAGATAGCTAGTCAGAGAGTGGTTGCCGTGACCGAGATTTTGTTTGGAGAACATTGTTATTATTATTGTCTCGTATAGCTGGCGATTTCACCATCTCTTATGCGTATGTCAGACTTAAAGTACCCTGATCGTAATCAGGAACGCGCGTTCAGGAAGAGAGATGTTAATACTGTGGATCATCATCATCATTACAGCCCTTCACAAGTGCACTGCTGAACATAGGCCTCCCCCAAAGAATTCCACAAAGCATGGTCCTGAGCCACCTTCATCCATCGACTTCCTACATGTCTTAGAAGGTTGTCACTCCGTCTAGGAGGGGGCCACCCCGGTTGATATAATATTATATACAATATATGCCTACCGGTACCGTTAAGAGGCTGCCACTCGAGAACCTTTTTTCCCCATCGGTTGTCGGTTCTTCGAGCTATATGGCCGGCCCATTGCCACTTCAGCTTACTAATGCGTTTTAATTTGGACCTGGTAGTATTATTAACTATTTAATGGCAAATCCGCCAAAGCGAATGCAGGAAAGAACTTTTCGAGCTGATAAAGAAAAAATGCTCTAAACCTGTGATCTAAAGTCTACATAGAGGTGAGTGAGATGTAAAATTTAGATTAAGTGAATAAAATACCATGTAAACGAATGACTTTAATTTCATTTAGTCTAAACTGGCAGCAGTTTCCCTATAACGGGAGAGGCTCATGTCTAGCAGAAGACTTTTTTAAATTAAAGTTATAAACGAACTGACAGTCTACCTGGTGATAAGTGAGCACTAAGATGGAATGCCTCACATTATGTAATTATGCTGGCTCTCTATACAACATGTAACAAAACCCCTGTGGTTCCCGTTAAATACGTTATCAGGATCATTATTCAAACGTATAGAAATAACTTTTTTTTTAAAAATTCGAACAATATGTTTTTAATTTTATTAAAAAAAAATAATTGTATGCAAATTGTATGTGGTTTTATTACCTCTGCATTGTCTGTGGAGTAAGAGAATTGTCGAAGGCCCCGCTTTACTTAGCTGTAGCATCGGCTAGTTTCAGTAAGAGATAATGAAACCACACAAAATTAAAAACAAAATTTAATAAAATTTAAAAAAAATATTGTCGGGTTTTTAAAAAAAAGTTATTTGTATAGGTTTTAATACTGATCCTGATAACGTACTTAACGAGAACCACATGGTTTTTGTTACATGTTGTATATTTCAGACCTGAACACAGTAGTGCAAGCGCTATTATTTTTTATCAGTATAGCTAAGAGGTTGATACCGACCCGACTGACTCCTATGCGGAAACCACCTGAAACTTATTTTTTATGACGTAATTTCTTGCCTCTAGCACTGTGCTTCTCCCTTCGATCGCATTGCATGAGCTTACATAAGGTACGTGCATGCTTGGACAACTGATTTGTTACATAATATCTTCTACGCAGTTGATGTCTTTCGAATATATAAACATTTTCGCCGTCTCATAAATAGCCCATAAGAACATCACCGACAAAATTAGCTACTTTAATTATTGTTACTTTAATTTATTTTAATTGGACAGCAATTCCTTTTTTTTATAAAGAAATATAATAATGTAACTATTAAGCTACTTACAAGTTTCCACTTTTAGAATTAAAAATAAAAGAGATACTTAAACAAAAGCCAGGTCGAAAATAAAATCAATTAGTTAACAATACCTTAAAGTTAAAAACTATGTTAAGGTAAATGTATTCATATCAAAGTTATGCGAATTTTAAATATTTTGGCTGTTAATAAAACAACATGTTAGTATAGTATATTTATTTAGCGAATATTTTGTTGAAGCCAGTTCCTGTAGGCGCTGACGCGGACAAACATGTCTGGTGCGCCTCTCGCACAAGGCAGTCCCCACGACACTATACCGATTTGCTGGTTGCGGTCCACTCGTACCAGTGGACTGCCACTGTCACCCTGAAAAGATTAAAGATGCCGTTGAACAAAGTGCTTGGATATTTGTCCTTTACTTTCTTTGTCATTTATTACGTGGGAGAGCCATGCTGCAGCTATATTATGGTTGTAGCACGAATAGGTCGGTTCGACCGATGTAGGACCGCGCTATCACAGAATACCATCGTAAATATATAGCAGCTTAATGCTGCTGTGTTACGTGTAGTGAGTGTAGAGAACCAGATACCATATACCATATTTTTAATGGATACGAGGCGTAATATCTTTGTCCTCAGGGGTGACAACGAAAGATAAATATAGTTGTCTATGAACCACATCATCCACTTAAAATAAGGTTGACTATGTGCTCGTTTGTCAACCTTAGTCTATAAAAAATATCTCTCACAGAATACCAGCGTAAAATAGCAGCTTAACGCTGCTGTGTTTCGTATGGTGAGTGTAGAGAACCGGAGACCCTTTTTACTGGAAACGAGGCATTCCATCTTAGTCCTCACGGGTGACAACGCATCTGCATTTTGAGTCTTTATTGAGGATAGATGTAGATGTCTATGGGTCACAGTACCCATTAACCACGGTGAACTGTGTGCTCGTTTGTCACCCTATCCTATAAAAAAAAAGGCGAATTGAAGTTTGCAACTCGTAACGAACCTTTAACGCTGCTACCCGTTGCCGTAACGTAAACAAAATGACCGCCATACATCGAAAATCGAAAGTCATAACATTTCTCTGGCATTTTCCAAGTCGCAATTATTTTTACAGAATAAGGGTGACAAACGAGCACGAAGTCTACTGATGGTAAGTGGATGCTGTGGCCCATAAACATCTACATCTATCCTCGATTAAGAATCAAAATGCAGATACGTTGCCACCCGTGAGGGTTAAGATGGAATGACTCGTTTCCAGAAAAAAGGTTCTCCGATTCTCTACACTCACCATACGAAACACAGCAGCATTGAGCTGCTACTTTACGCTGGTATTCTGTGCGAGCGTGGTCCTTCCTCGGTCGAGCCGATCCATTCGTGCTACAACCATAATATAGCTGCAGCATTACTCTACCAAGTAAAAATCATCTAAAGACACCCACGGGATGAAGGGTTGTGATGGATTTACTTGTGCTTCCGCTCGGCAAAAGACAATACAATCTATCAAGATCGTACATTCTGTACAAATTCATCAGATCATATGAAAAACACCAGCGCAAGGAAGGTTCTCGAAACGTGCTCTTCCCAGAACTATGTGGTGCCCATTTCATCCAATTCCGTTTACCATAATGTATAGTGACAAGCAAGTAAAAGAAACATTTAAAAATCAATGGCCGAAATGTAGGTCAATGCATCTAAATAAATATAAGTTCAACTACATAGTAAGTTATTGAAACGACAATTGGTAAAATTAAAACTTTTGTAAAACCGATTTCAAAATGATTTCAATATTTCTTAACAGGCAGCTTTTGCTTTTTTTTGTAGTACGTATGGGCAGGCTCGAGCCGGGTTGGTACCACGACCTCACAGAATACCGACGTGGAGTGGAAGCTGTGCTTCTGCGTTGGTGAGTGCAGGTGGCCGGAGGCCAGATCCCCCAAATCAAAATTTTTAGTCAAAATCAAAGTTCTTAGTCAAAATGCGATGATTGTTTTTAAGTATGGGCAAAGAAACGAACAAATATAATGTCTTCATTTTGGGTTTCGCTGCAAACGAGTAAAAAGTAAAAACACAGATTCCTCTTTCGCTTCATTCTCACGTAATAACTGCGGCATGGCTCTATCACATACGTGGTAGGGCATGGCTCTACCACTTGGCTCTACCAATTACGTGGTAGAGCCATGCTGCAGCTGTTCCTAGTAGTATAGTCGTAGCATGAATGGGTCGGCTCGACCGGGGAAGGACCACGCTCTCACCGAATACTAGCGTAAAATGGCAGCTTAACGCTGCTGTGTTTCGTATGATGAGTGTAGAGAACCAATTGTGAATCTAAACCATTCTCTAATCAACTTAATCACACACACACTAAATCGGTTCAGACATTTAGTCAGTCACATACACACGGACAGAATAATTATACAATATATAATATACACATATTATACATATAAACCTTTCTTTCGAATCATGATGTCTCAGTAGACATCATCAGTATGAAAACCACATCAAAATCTAATGCGTAGTTTAAAAGATCTAAGCGTACAGATGGCGGAAAGCGACTTTGCTTCATACTATGTAAGAAGATAAGAGATTTAAATGTTACTTACGTTGCAAGTGCCATGGTTTGCGGAGTGGAAGGTACAAATTTCGATGTGCGGCTCTACAGGCGGGGCCCTAATGTTGAACTGGTTCGACAAACGAGCCACCTCACTGACACAGCGCGCGCCGTCGATCGTGTTTTTGGTTAGTTGCAGCAGTTCCGCGGAGAGTGCACCGTTTTGCTGTAAGCGGTCCACAAATATATAAAATATATATTACAAAATGAGTAATAACTATTTCTCTGCTTCTGTTTCAATATCAGCCTGTAGTAGTTCAATAATCGACATAGATCTCTCCATTATAGATGCCATACAAGATCCAGTTTACCGTCCAGTTTGCAGCGTGCTTGAAGCGGCGTCAAGTTTGCACGATGCAGGACTAGTTGAAACCATGGCGTTACCAGTGACGGACGACGACGTGTTAGCCATCCTAGGCTTATTGCTCCAGCTACCCTCATGCGTACTTGACCGCTCATACACACGTTCAAGTTTACATGACGCTGCAAGCTTGATCAAGTCGGCAGAAACGAAATTCAATTTTTGCTTCAAGTAGACTTGTCATGCACACTGATAGGCATACACCGTGAAGTTTAGTGGACATCGCTTCAAGCGCGCTGCAGACTTGACGGTAAACTGGATCGTATATGGCATCCATTAGTAGGAAAGATTTCCTATTATCTTCACGCTTAGACGGTCGATTGAGGGTCCCAACACATGTCTTGCACTATTCAAGCATGCTATACCCACTCTGGCACATTTGACACTGATTTCCATTTATTCTGGATATTTTGCAACTGGAATATTCGAATAAGATCTTTCTGACTTTTAAAGTCGTATTCACTTACTCACTTGCCGCTGACCTGTAGACCTACTAATACAGCCAGCGTAGATAAAGTCCTGTCTGTACTGAAATCCGGGCGGAGGCCTGTCTCAACTCTTAAAATCCGGTCAAAACTTGATTAATCCGGTCCAAAAGATTAGAATAATAGTCAAAAAATACCATCTAAGGCTGCATCACCACTTACCACCAGGTGGAATTATGGTTAAGCACTGGCTTATAATTAGTTAAAAAAAACGAATTTATTCGGTCAAATGTTAGCTCTAGCCCCCGTTGTTGTCAGAGGCGATTATAGAAAATGCTAGAAATATCTTATTTGAATATTCCAGTTGTAAAATATTCAGAAAAAATAAGCATTAAGAAATAAAAATATAACTCACTCTAACTCTTCCCCATCCGGAAACTCTTGTAGCGACATTGGCACCAATGAAGTCATAGTTCAAGGCGACGATCCGTACTGTATTGGAGAGAGCGACGTTAGTAGAGGTGACCAGTAGACCAATGTCGTTCTTGATGGCCGCCTGCACGTAGTTGGGGTGGGTGATGTTTCTTGCTATGTTGTAGTTAACGCCGCCAAGATTCCAACGGTTGGTGCCCACAGTCGCACGTAGCGAACTGAAAAACAACGATATTAAATTAAATCAACCTTTCGAAAACTAACATTATCATAAAAGTCATAGAGAATATTCTTCTCCACCCTGCCCCAATGTGGAATGGTATTTGGACCTTTTATGTAGGTTACGATATCTGTGTCAATTGTAAGCTAATTTTAATATTTAAAGAACCTTAAATATAGTTTGTTATTTATAAGATAGGTTGACAAACGAGCACACAGTCCACCTGATGGTAAGTGGTTACTGTGGCCCATAGACATCCATCTATCCTCGTTTGCGAATCAAAATGCAGATGCGTTGTCAGCCGTGAGGACTAAGATGGAATGCCTCTTTTCCTGTAAAAATGATCTCCGATTCCGTACACTCATCATACGAAACACAGCAGTATTAACCTACTATTTTACGCTGGTATTCTTTGAGATATGTAACGATTTTCGTAGTTGTTTTTTAATAACTAACATAATACAATGATAATACTTTTTGAAAATTAATGATATCTCACTAACAACATAAATATTAGAAGAGGCCAGGTTCGGTACAAACGACTTTCTGGGTTGTCAGCCTCGCCGATAAATGAATTGAAATCTGTACGGACTCCAAGCTCCATAGCAGTTGCTTAAGTCATAGTATCTATAAAAATATACAACGTTTTGGGGACTTCTATGAAACTGCGCCATGTTCCATCGAACTTCTAAGAACCTTTCCACTTTTATGTTTTTGGTAGGATTTGTTAGAAGCCGTTGAACTATCATGGCTCTTAAGAGTTAGTCTGTTCAACTCCACTGCTGAACATGGACCTCCCCATTGCAGGGAAAACTCGCTTTAATCATTACGCTTGGCAGGTGAATTGACGATCGCAAACGGACATCGAACTTTTTAGATGTGGTAGAGATACATTGCAGCTATATTAGGATTATGATTGTAGCACCAATGGATTGGCTAGACCGGAGAAGGACCACGCTCTCAAAGAATATCAGCGTAAAATAGCAGCTTGATGCTGCTATGTTTGTATGGTGAATGTAGAGAACCGGAGACCCCTTTTACTAGACACGAGCCCTCATCCTAGTTCTCAGGGGTTTTGGGTTTCGATTCTTCATCATCATAATCATTACAACCCTTCACAAGTCCATTGCTGAACATAGGCCTCCCCCAAGGAATACATGTCATACAAGGTCGTCACTTCATCTAGTGGGGGGTCTTATATGGCCAGCAGTGAAGGACCACGTCTCAGTTTCATAGTTCATCACTGGCAAAATGCACTGCTTGTACAGTCTCGTTTTCAAGTTTTGAGGTATACCTGACGAGAAGATGTGCCGTAATTTCCCGAACGCTGCCCTGCCGAGTTGAAACAGTTGGTTTACCTGTCGGTCGAAGTAGGACTTACCTAGTCGAACTAATTGTCCCAGGTAAACATGCTTGTCAACAACTTCGCAATCAGTGCTCCCAACAACTACCGGTATATAGGTGTGACATGGACGATAAACATGATTTTTGTTTTGTGCATGTTCATCTTAAGACCTATACGTTGGGGGACACTATTGAGGTCAATGAGCATAGTGCTTAGATCCTTCAGCGATTCTGTCATAAGGACTATATCGTCGGTAAATTGAAGGTGAGTGATGTACTCGCCGTTGATGTTAATACCGTATCCTTTCCAGTCCAGAAGCTTGAAAACGTCTTCTAATGAGCGGTAAAGAGTTTTAGGGATACAACGTCACCCTGTCTTACACCTCTTTGCAGTTGGATAGGTTTCGTACTCTGGTTCTGTACTCGGATAGACAAACCTATCTACTGTACAAACACTTCAGCACTTCGATATACCGACAGTTAACTTGGCACCGCTGAAGGGATTGCAGCACCGCCGATATTTCGACGGAATCAAAGGCTTTCTTATAGTCCACATACGACCAGACATAGACATAGACATAGGCAAATTGTATTCTCTCACTCTTCAAGAGAGCGTTGTCACCTTTCATGAAGAACAAGACCACCGCACTTCTGCTCCACGCCTCCGATGTAGGACCATGGAGCACGGAATTAAAGAGCTTCTGAAGGACTTCAAGTACCGCTTTTCCACCCGCTTTCAGAAGCTCCGCTATAATACCATCCTCGCCCGAGGCCTTGCTGTTTTTAAGGTGCTGGAGAGACGTTCTAATCGTCGGACTATCGTCGGAATAGTGTCGGATAAGACTTTCTCTTGCATCGTTATTCATACTTGTGTGTGACTCCAACGATGATGTATACAGCTGCCCATAGAACCTCTCAATTTTACTTAAAATCTCAGGTGTCCCAGAAACGACGCTACCACACTCGGTCTTAAGCTTCGACAGTTGGCTCTTTCTGGCAGATAAATCTCTAGCAAAGACTTTGGAGCTCTGGTTCCGGTCCATCGCTTCTTCAATACGAGCTATATTGAAGATTGCGTAAGTCCTGCCGCATGCATTTGGAGATCTGTCTGTTCAGTTGCCTGTACGCTGTTAAATCTGCTGAAGGTTGCAGCTTCATTTCCTGTCTAACAGCCGTGAGATTAAGAGTGTGATCGGAGAGTCTTTGTGTTCTTCTGCGGCGGGTCTTGCAGAACTTAGCAGTTTCCACGAGCTTCTCATTCATATCGTTTACCGCATTGCAATCTTCGAGGCAATGAAAATGATTTTGTAGCTTGAGCTGAAAGGTTTCGGGACTTTGGATTAGAGCACGAGGGGGACGGAGCGTTGACTTCATTAGACGAGACCTTTCCAACTTAATATTTAGGTTCAGTGTGCCTCTCAACTTTCGGTAATTACTGCTTGATTTTCATCATCGCGATCACTGACACTTCACTGAACAGTTGTCGTCTGGTCGTCATAGTGAAGTCAATCTCAATTTTTTGTCGAACTGTAGGGGCTCGACCAGGTCCACTTTCTGTGGAGCCGCTTCTGGAAGTAAGAGTTCATCATAAACAGTCCCACTTTCTCCATGAAGTCGTCCAGCTGCTGGCCCGTTGGGTTCCGTTGCCCTATTCAAATTTTCCCTACCTTCAGCTTACCGTTATCTCTTGTGTTTAGTTTTGCATTGAAGTCTCCCATTAACACTGTATAGAGGGTTTTGGAGGAATGCATGGCTCTAGAGATATCTTCATAAATTTCCTCCACCTCCTCATCGGGATGTGCTGAAGTTGTTGCATAAACCTGCATGATCTTCAACGAATACCGTTTGATAATTCTGAGTATAAGGTACGCAACCCTCGTCGTGAGTTGTGGACGATAAATCCGACACCTCCTTGGGACAGATGGTCGCCGTTCCGGTGATAGCACAAATATCCATATTCGAGGATTACTATGTCCTCCTCCTTTCTTCAGACCTCGGATAATCCTATAATATTCCACCGCAACTTGTCTATCTCTTCTTCCAGCTCTAGGATCTTCTCGTCAGTCCTCAGGGTGTGTGTGTTATATGTTGCCAGATCGAGTCGTCTTAGGTGGCAACCGAATCTCCACCGGAGATTCTTAGCAGCCCCTGCCCCACCGTTACCATGGTCACCACCGTAGTAATAGCGGAGCCGCCGGGGGCTGGGTGTCGTCTCTTCGTAACTTTATTCATGGGGGTATATTGCCATAGTTGCCACACTTGGCGAGCGGTTTCGCGACCGCAGTTCTTTATTGTTGTTTTGTTGTTTTGGTTTTTGTATGGTGAGTGTAGGAGAACCGGAGACCCCTTTTACTAAAACAAGGCCTCATCCTAGTCCTCATGAGTTTGGGTTTTGATTCTTAATTGAGGATAAATTTAAATATCTGTGGTCCACAGCATCCACTTTCCATCTAGTGGAATGTGTGCTCGTTTGTCATCCTTATTCTATTCTTCTCAGACATTTGATGCTTCTGAAATTCGCCGGTCGGAGCATTTTACGTCTGGCGTAAACAAAATGCCTGTACCGCCATCTATCGAAAGCTATATAACTTTATTTTATTTATCTGTTTATTATTAAACTTTGTTATCATTTTTAAATTAAATGTGTTAAAAATGTATTTGCTCAGTTCCGCGCGATAAAACAAAACGGTGTGTCTCACCTAGTTTGAAGAGCACCTCCCGCCTTCCCTTAAGCGCACTATCCCCGTCCCCACTAATCCCGGCACCACTAATCCCAACACCACCACTCTAAGAACGGCCGCCGTGACCGAAGTCTATGTGCAAACACAGGTGCACTCTATATTCTCACACTCAGGACAGTAATTCGACACGACCGGAGAGAGATCATAATAATGATAATGTCCTCCAGACCGAATTTCGGTCACGGCGGCTAGTCTCAACGGAGACTAGCCATCGGCGCAGGACAGGATTATAGTGCCCAAGTGTATGCGCAAGCACATGTGCACTCTCTATTCCCTCACGCTCATAGTCCGATGGGACGGTAAACCGACACGATCGGAGAGAGATCTGGCGCAGGACCAACGGCTTTACGTGCTTTCTGAGGCACGGGGGTGAAACACCGCCAACTTCCTGACTCCGGGCAGCTATTGAGATTTCTTGATGGAAAAACTCAATAACTGATTTTTTTGGCCCGACCCGGGATTCAAACCCAGGCCCTCATGATCAGCAGTCGCACTACTACAACCACTCGACCCACGAGGCAGTCAAGAGAGATCAGGCCCAGTACCGACGGCTTTACGTGCTTTCTGAGGCACGGGGGTTCCTAACTCCGGGCTGCATCTGGGAACTTCTTGACAGAAAAACCGATTAACTGATTTGGGACGACCCGAAGTTCGAACGCGAGACCTTATGATCAGCAATCACGTATACGACCATCAGACTAACGAGGTAGTCAAATCTATACATATAGAGTATGTTAATATGACAGCCCGGAGACAACCAGACAATCTGGATAAATTGGTTGTAGTAGTGAAGATCGAAGGAAAAAGATTACGTGGGCGATTACCTACCCGCTGGTCCGACCAGATTCAAAATATAACGGGACTTAATATTCAGACTGCCCTGAGACAAGCCGAGGACAGAGTGGTATGGAGGAAGCTAATCCCCTATAGTAGCATTTAACAACACCCACGGGACGTAAGAGGGTAGAATGATTTTCTTATGCCGAAGCAACGTGGCTTAGTAAGATACAATACATACTTGCTTAGTGATCCACCAGAGAAGACAGCGTTAATGCAATGGGCAGCAGTGAGGATATGTCGGTTGCTCACAAGGGAGCCTCCACAAAGGAAGTTCCGCACCAGGAGTCCGTTGGTCAGCGCCACCATGTAGGGTATACTACCCTGGGGTGCCACGGATCCGCCTACGATCCGTCCCGTCGGATCTGAGTGTCCGTACAGCGTGGATACATCGGTATCCTGTTTTGGGAAAGCTATAGACAAGACAAGAAGAAAAAGATTGATATATAAAGTAAAATTATGGCCTATTTATAACCTCTGGGAATTAGGTGATCGCTACCATACTGTTTCTAAACGTTTTCATACTTAATTGTATATTGTGAATTGATTTATAAAAAAAAAAGTCCCGCTGGGTATCTTATTGGTTCTTCCCAGGACATAGGTATTTTTCCAAACCACTGGCATAACTTATGTCTTTCTTGTAATCTATATTAAATAGAAACTATTCTACTCGTATTCTTTTCTATTCTATGTACGTCTCATACAGGCCTACTCCCATTTTTGAATGGGTTATGCATCATTTAGTCCGCGGCGCTTCTCCAGTTTATCAGCTGACTTCACATGCCATTGTAATACTTTATTACTTAGAATTGCAGGTTTCCTCACGATGTTTTCTCTCTCCACCTAGCACGTCATAAATCGGCATTAGAACGTTTCAAAAAATTTAAGGCGAGAGCTTGGCCCCAGAGCTACCAATAAAATATATTAAGAAAATAAAGGGTTGGATAACCACTCGTATTTTGTGAGAGCGTGGTCCTACTCCAGTCAAGCCGACTCACTCTCGTGCTACAACCATAAAATAGCTGCAGCGTGGCTCTATCACTTATATAAAATTCCAACTCGGGGTGAAAACGGTATCAGATTATAATATAAATAAAGGGAAAATGAGCACTTCAGTTTTCAACAAGTATTGTTTGCCATTTAAAAGGATAGTCAGAGGCTCCCAAAGTGCGATTACCAGTCTTAAATTTCAGACTGAACGTAAATTAAAGGTCGTCTGCATACAAATGGCATAATAAAAAAACTGCGGTTGGTAACATAATTACCAAGCGTAGCAACCAACTATGCCAAATATCCCCCCTTGGAGGCAATCTATGGTTGAGGTCTATGTTCAAATTTGTCTAGTGTTGTGTGAATACATAATTAATTTTTATTTATTAAAATAAACAAATAACTTATCCGTGTAGTGGCGGGTAAGAATACCCACTACCCCATATCTTCCCGTGGGTGTCGTAAAAGGTGACAGAGGGAAACTGAGGCAGAAGACGGGCAGCAGCATCTTTCTGATAACAGTAAAAGCAATGAAAAAACTGCGGTTGCCAACCCGCTCGCCAAGCGTGGCAACTATGGCAATATACCCCCCACGAGCAATGACAATAATAAACGGCCCCCAGTCCCCGGCGACTCCGCTATTCCTGGCTACGGTGGCGATCATGGTAACGGCGGGGCTGGGGGTGCTAAAAATCTCCGGTGGAGGTTCGGTTGCCACCTACGACGACTCGACCTGGCAATTTATAACGCACGTACCCTGAGGACTGACGAGAAGATCCTGGAGCTGGAAGAAGAGATAGACAAGTTGCGCTGGAATATTATAGGATTATCCGAAGTCCGAAGAGAGGGGGAGATGTCCTCCTCCTCTCTTCAGACCTCGGATAATTCTCGAATACGGCAACTTGTTCTATCACCGGGAAGGCGACCATCTGTCTCAAGGAGGTGTCGGATTTATCGTCCACAAGTCTCTCATTAACAACGTTGTAAAGATTGGGAGTGTGTATACGAGGGTTGCGTACCTTATCGGCCCCACAGTAAGTGGACTTGGTAGAGCCCCGAGGGTTCAACAAAAAGTGACATTGACTTCATTATGACGACCAGACGACAACTGTTCAGTGATATCTCAGTAATAGCGAGAGTGAAAACTGGTAGCGATCACCGAATGGTTAGAGGCACACTGAACCTAAACGTTAAGTTAGAGAGGTGTCGTCTAATGAAGTCAATGTTCCGTCCCCCTCGTGCTCTCATCCAAAGTAACATAACCTTTCAGCCCGAGTTACAAAATCGTTTTCAGGGCCTAGAAGATTGCATTATAGTGGACGATATAAATGACAAGCTCTTGGAAATTATCCATGCGGTCGGAGCTAAGTTTTGCGAGACCCGCCGCAAAAGAACACAAAAACTCTCCGATCACACTCTTAATCTCATGGCTGTTAGACAGGAAATGAAGCTACAGTCTTCAGTAGATTTGATAGCATACATGCAACTGAACAGACAGATCTTCAAATGCATGCGGCGGGACTTACGCAACTTTAATACTGCTCATATTGAAGATGCGATCGATCGGAACCAGGGCTCCAAAGCCCTTGCCAGAGATCTGTCTGCTAGGAAGAGCCAATTGTCGAAGCTGAAGACCGAATGTGGCAGCAACATTTCCAAGACACCTGAGATTTTGAGTGAGATTGAGAGGTTCTATGGGCAGCTGTACACGTCATCATTGGAGCCACACGCAAGTGTGAGTAACGATCCAAGAGCAAGTCTAAGATAACACTATTACGATATTCCGGACGTCAGTCTGAGCGAGATTAGAATGGCTCTCCAATGCCTTAAAAACGGCAAATCACGCGCGAGGATGGAATTACAGCGGAGCTTCTGAAAGCGGGTGGAAAACCGGTACTTAAAGTCCTTTAGAAGCTCTTTAATTCCGTCCTTCATGGAGGCACTACTCCGGTGGCGTGGAGCAGAAATGCGGTGGTCTTGTTCTTCAAGAAAGGCGACAACGCTCTCTTGAAGATCTATACACGGATTTCCCTTCTGAGCCGCGTCTACGTACTGTTTTCGAGAGTCATTACGAATCGTCTCGCATGCAGACTCGACGACTTTCAGCCTCCCGAACAAGGCGGTTTCCGAAAAGGCTTTAGCACCATAGATCACATACCCTTCGATAAATTGTACAGAAGACCGAAGACAATCTGCCACTTTGTCTTGCGTATGTGGACCATGAGAAAGCCTTTGATTCCGTCACAATTTGTGCCTCCCAACGGATAGGTCTTAAGATGAACATGGACAAAACAAAGAAATCATGTATAACGTCCATGTCACACCTATGCCGGTAGTTATTGGAAGCACTAAGCTCGAAGTTGTTGACGTGTATGTTTACCTGGGACAAATATTTCGACTAGGTAAGTCCAACTTAGACCGAGAGGTCAATCGACGGATTCAACTCGGCTGTTTAAAGTTAATCGGGAAATTACGACACATCTTCTCGTCAGGTATTCTACAAAACTTGAAAACGAGATTGTACAACCAGTGCGTGTTGCCAGTGATGACCTATGGATCTAAGACGTGGTCCTTCACTGCTGGCCGTATGAAGAAGTTCAAGGTCACTCAGCGAGCTATGGAGAGGGCTATGCTCGGAGTTTAAGAAATGAGGATATCCGCAGTAGAATCAGAGTGCAACATAATAGCTCGAAGAACCGACAACCGATGAGCAAAAAAGGTTCTCCAGTGACAGCCTCGTAACGGTAGGCGAAGTGTAGATCGACCCCCCACTAGATGGAGTGACGATCTGGTAAGACATGCAGGGAGTCGATGGATGCAGGTGCCTCGGGGCCGCGTTTTGTGACATTCCCTGGGGGAGGCCAATGTTCAGCAGTGGACTTGTGAAGGGCTATAATAATGATGATGATGATGGTGATGAAGCTCTAAACTACTACAGCTTTAAGTGGCAGGTAATTTTAGCTAATGATAGATAAAACAAATATTAAACTTTAAGTAACAAATATAAAAATAAGTTTTAATCGTTCGTAGATTGTACTGTTAATCTAGCGATTAATGCTGATGTGATATCACTTCACAGATAATCAATTACAGTGCAAGTGAGAGCTTAGCGGTTAAATAAATCTTTAAATCACAGATATTTATAAGCATTGATATTTAATAACTAGTTTTTGCCCGCAACTTCGTCCGGATAAAAAAACTACTGCAAGTTTTTGGGCAAGTTAATTATCGAAAAACTAAACTCAATTTTTGTTATCATTTCTAAAACTACCTATATGCGGCGTGGAAAAATTTACAATATAAGAATTTACGTAAAAAAGATCTTCACAAAGGTTCTGATCCTGTAACACTAATTGTGTTTTTTTTTTGTAATATTAGTTCTATATTAATTGAAACTTATTTATATATTTTTTTACTTATTATAATTATCAAAATGTATATTACCAGTTTTACATTTTAAATAAATACGCTTAATATAAGTCGATATAGTTCCTTCCTCGATGTCGATTAATATTTCGATATTATAGACAGATACTTCAATTTTATTTATACGACGTTTAATTATTATATTGCCATTGTAAGGTACTTAATGTTTTTTATAGGATAAGGTTGACAAGCAAGCACACACCTGTCCACCTGATATTAAGTAGCTGCTGTGGCCCATAAACATCCAAATCTATCCTCGACTACGAATCAAAAGGCAGACGCGTTGTTTCCCGTAAGGACTGAGGTGGAATGCCTCGTTTCCAGTAAAAAGGGTCTGTGCTACGCTAAACTCACCATACACAGCAGCATGAAGCTGCTATTTCACGCTGGTATTCTGTGAGAATGTGGTCCTTCCCCGGTCGAGCCGACACATTCGTGCTATAACTATACTACTAATATAGCAGCAGCATAACTCTACCACATACAAAACTGAGATTCACCAACAAATGTTCATGTTGAAATGGACACTTCGTGCATTAATTATTTTGTGAATACTGAATATTTATTTACAATTTCATCATTCATATTCGACTTCATTATACGACGAATTAAACTCTTGCGAAAGAACTTAGGTACTGTGGTATTTTTTTGCCGATATTGTATTTTGATAATTCTTAAATAATGCATTATGGTTTTGGGATACAATTTGCATTATTTAGGCTGCAAGAAATAAAATGCAATATGAAATAAACAAAATTTCATATTGCATTTTATTTCTTTAGTTGCTTTTAAAAGTAGTTTATTTTAGTATTTTATTCTTTAGTTTTGTTGTTTATTTTATGCTTTAAGAACGATTATGTAGTTATATCCTCTATTACAATTGTTACAAATCTATGTTACAAATCAAAAATTGCATTTTGATTTCTAACAGAGGGTAGATGTGGATGTCTATGGGCACTTACCATCAGGTGGACTGTGTGCTCGTTTGTCACCCTATCCTATAAAAAAAAGGGAAGCCACTAGCCCATATCATCTCGTGTTTGTCGTAAGAGAGACAGATGAACGCTGAAATAGAAGATGCGCAGCAACATCTTCCTGATAACAACTAAATAACAGTAAAAAAACTGCAGTTGCCAACCTGCCTGCCAAGCGTAGTTAATATCTATGAGGCAATATATAGGGGAGCTCTAAGTTCAGTAGTAGGCTTTTGATTAGCCGTAAACCGTAATGAATAAATGATTATACATTTTGTACTTACCTAAACTCCCAACGAAGAGTGCTGCCAGTAGTAACCCAACTTTGTACGCCATATTACGAACTGTCCAGTGTGAAGGTAAATGCAACGCTGAAACCTTATATATTGAAATCGACCACTATCATGCATATTTTGAAGATAGCCGTGATTAATTAAAAAAAGATAGGGACAGTTATAGGTAAAAGATATGTAATGCAAGGTAATCAGTTAAATTTAATAATATTCACATCGACTATAATTGATTGTAAGTTTAACAGTGATTATTTGCACATGATGATTATAACTAAGCTATTTAAGCGATTTTTTTTAAAATGTTATGGAAAACCAACAGCTTACAAGTCTTAAGTAAATAACATTTTTAATTTACAAGAAACCAAAAACATATTCTCACTAATAGATTACAAGTCAATAACAGGTTCTCACTAATGGAGATTTAATGAATTGACTGAATCGTAATTAATGATATTTATTCCAGTTTATGACAACCCTGATTCTATTACGTGGCTGAAATTAAAGATACTTCTTAGTAGGTTAGTCAAACCAAATAGCATGACGGCTGACATTACGCACCCCATACGTTTCCTATATCTAATTACCCTGTTAATTCTCACTAAAAGAAAAAAAACTTATAAATTTATTTAAATGATAACAAATTCTATATTACTCGGATAAAATTAGGCTTACATACTCTATGTATATAAGCCTAATTGTATCCGAATCAGGAGTTTTGGCGGGAACTTGACCGGCGGCGGTTTGCTGCTCCTCTTTTATTGTTTAAATAATGGTTTGAACTGGACTTTGATATGTAAAAGTGGTGCGATTTTACGTATTAAGTGTCTGCGCATGTGAACTATTAGTGGAAACTGTGAAACAAGTGCTCTGATAGTGATGTGATTCTCAAAATAAGGTGTCTGTCTGCTTAGGCGCCTTGAGATACCATCGCCAACCGTCAGCTGTCTGCTGGCTCAAGTTACTGTCAAAATCTCCCAAGGGCTGCACAATGTGACGCATCAACATATTGTGAAGCAGTACACTATGACGAATAATTATTATAATATTAATATAATATATTGTAACTTCAGACTCAGAAGGGCTAGATCCCAGAGCCGTAATGCCAGTTATTAAGAAGAAGAAGTGTATCCGAATCACAATTAGTCAAAAAAAAAAGGAAAATGAGCGTTGTTCATTGCATAGGTGTTGTTATTTTTAATTTAACACTGTTAGGTTTAAAACTGCGTGGTAATATTTGAAATATACTTCCTTCTAATTACGAAGACTATTTTAGTTGACAATATTTGTAGTTAAGACCGCTAGAAACATTATTTTTGTGGTAAAAAAAGCGAAAATTTTTCGGTTTTTGGATTGTGTATGTATGAGATTGAATTGTAGTATTGTAGGTACTTAAGTACATCCACCCTACACTGGAGTAGGTACTGCGCCGAACAGTAAGATCTAGGCAAGTTGTTATCATATATTGTTTCAATTATATTATATGTTGTAAATGTAATATGTGCCTATAAACTTAAAATACGTAAAACATAATATGCGGCCTAACTCAAAAATCGATGTCATTTTATAAAAAATATTTTAGAAAGAAATATTTAAGTTCTCTCTCCTTTTTCATTAAATGGCAATAGAAAGGGACAGGTGTATAGATAATTAATACTTAGGTAATTTAAGTGAGCGATAATAAACCGTTATGAGTGAGTGGTAATAAGTAAGGCCATTGTAGGGTTATTATAATATTAAGGAATTTATAGATGATAATAACCCCTGGAAATGAGGTGATCGCTACCAAGCTATTTCTAATTTGTTGTGTTGTTAATTACATACATGATTGTAAGCTGTTATTTAAAAAAAAAGTCCCGCTGGGTTTCTTGCTGGTTCTTCCCAGGACAGAGGTCTTTTTTCGAAGCAGTGGTAATTATACAAAAGAGTGACTTTCAATAAGTATTATTTATAATCTATATTGAACAAAAAAGTTTCTGTTTCTGTTTCTGTTTCTGTAAGGTATCGGTAATATTTAAATAAAAAAGTTTCATCATAATGTTCGACATAATGTTTTTATACCTATCTAACCTTAGCCATTGTTGATACCGTATAGAAGAATGTAGTATACCTGCACTTAATTATTTATCAATTTCATACATAGTGTGTATTATTATAATGTTTATCAGATTGATGGCTGATTAATGACCTTAAATTAAATGTTGAGTTTTGATTTTACTTTAGATTGAACAATGATTTATCGTGAAAAACAAATCTAAATTAGCAATTGGAAAATACGTTTTCAAGTACTACTATACAAGTGTCTAAAAAATAGTGTCAAGCGGAAGTCCAATAGTAGATCATCCTGAGGAAATAGTGTGTTTAAGTATGTTGCACGATGTTTTGTAATATTCGAGTTATGATTTTTATTGTTTTGTTGAGTCAAACCTTATTTAGAGAACCTGAGGTCCTTTTTACTGGAAACGAGGCATTCCATCTTAGTCCTCACGGCTGACAACGCATCTGCATATTGATTCGCATACGAGGATAGATGTAGATGTCTATGGGCCATAGCAATCACGACGAGTTCTTTCCAATCGGCTTGACTCACTGGCACTGCGTAGAGATGTTGCATCTCTTTGCTTATTTTATCGCATCTATCACGGGAAGTGCTCTGAGGAATTGTTCGGAATAATTCCAGCCGCCCAATTTCACCATCACACATCGCGACAAAACTCGCGATACCATCCATACCATCTGGATGATTGGCGGACCACCACTGTGCGATTCAGAAGAAGTTTTCTCCCTCGCACAACTTCTTTGTGGAATCAATTACCACCAGCGAATTTTCCGGACCGATACGACTTAGGAACCTTTAAGAAAAGAGCTTACACCTTTCTAAAAGGCCGGCAACGTATCTGCAATTCCCCTGGTGTTGCGGTTGTTCATGGGCGGCGGTAGTCACTTACCATCAGGTGAGTCGCATTCTCGTTTGCCCCCTCTCCTATAAAAAAAAAAACTTACCATCAGGTGGACTGTGTGCTCACTTGTCACCCTTTTCCTATTAAAAAAAAACCTTGACTTGAGCTTACTAGAGACATGGGGACATCAAACACCTCAGACCCCTCGTGGGTGCTGTAAAGCATCCAAAATGTCGGGAATTGAAGTTAAAATTAAACGCGATAAAATCCGTAAACGAGTGTTCGTGTAAATATAACAAATCATTTTATCAAAGACCGTTAATTTAAAAAAAGGCACCGATTTTTTTTTTATATAAACTAAGTTCTGCGCCAAAAATATACCTAGCCTAGATTTCTTATGGCATTGCTCTCTGCTCTCGATAAAGTTTCATTACAATCGGTTCAACCATTTCAAAGAATAGCCCGGACAGACAGATAGACAAAAATTTAAAATGGTTCTTTATGTGTTATTAGTATGCAAATAACCCCTTGAGCTTAATTAATAGAAGCCAGTTGTCCCGTCGAAATCGGTCCAGCCGTTTCGGAGATTAGCCGGAACAAACATACAGACAGCCAGACCGACAGACAAAAATTTAAAAAATTGTGTTATTGTTATAAATATCTACCGTATATACATTCATATGCATTTAGTAAAAAGCTGTTATTTTAACATTACAAACAGACACTTCAATTTTATTTATTTGTATAGATTATTACATATTATTATATTAATTTACGAAAAAAAATTAACGCTTTCATAAACGTCATGTTAGATGATATTGTATACATAGGTAAACAGGTAGTACAATACTTTGTTTACCTTTGCACCTACCTAACAACCTTTGTTTATCTAGCAGACTGATTATAATCAATTGTAAATTCCTGAATTAAATGATAAGTTTTGTTTTTGTCCATTTATTTGGTTATCAATCACAAGTTCAATATCAAAAAAGATCAAGTACATGTTGGAGCACAACCACGACGTCAGAGAATCTACGAGTATTACTCCATGTCGTCCCGTTTGTGTCGTTAGAGGAGACTGTGGGAACTGGGGAATGCCAGAAAAATCTTATAGGTGGTGGTAGAGCCATCTCGTATTAGTCTGACGTACTTTAATACAATGAGGGCATCCACGACTTTTTCTGGCACCAGGGCGGCGCCACTAGAAAGTGAGGTATAATATTTGACAGATTTCATAGCGGGGAAGTTAATTTGTTCGGAAAATGTAAAGGTTATTGTCACTTTCTGTACTATTAGATATATTTTATATTAATAAGATTAAAAATTAATAAACCAAACCACAGATATTCATAAAAGTAGAAAATTAAAAAAAAGGAAAAAATGTGCAAAAAAAATTAAAGAACAAACCACTGACGCATTGTTTTGTGTTTTAATATAATACTCTAGAAACTGATAAACTTTTATTAAAAACTAACTTCTCAATTAAATTACATTGTGTAACAAAAAAACTTTACGTCAGTATCAACTAGCGACATCTGGTGAGCAGAAAATTACTAGCCCTCATTATTGAAGTTACAAGCGAACTAACAGGCCACCTGATGTTTTTTTATAGGATAAGGGTGACAAACGAGCACACAGTCCACCTGATGGTAAGTGGTTGCTGCGGCCCATAGACATCTACCCTCGTTTGCGAATCGAAATGCAGATGCGTTGCCACCCGTGAGGAAAAAGGGCCTCCGGCCACCTGCACTGCACCAAGCGAAACGCAGAGGTATACCTCTACTTCACGCTGGTATCCTGTGAGGTCGTGGTACCACTCCGGTTCGAGCCGGCCCATCCGTGCGACAGCAAAAGCTGCCGCGTGGCTCTAACACTGTTAAATGTGTGTTTACTGCAGTTCATGGAAACATGCGGCTAACTTCAAATAAAGAAGGCTACAGTAGCGTTGTCACCTCTGAGGACTGAAATGGAATGCCTGACAACTTGTGATTATATTGGATTCCTTATAAGGGGAGTGTAGGGTAAACACGAAAACCCTAGGGAAAATAACAGAGTATTAGCAACGTGAGAATATCCACTACACTATAATCATCCCGTGGGTGTCGTAAGTGGCAACAGGGGGAAACTGCCAGATGTGCAGCAGCAT